GTGCCTTCTATAGCAGCGTTCCCTGAAGAGGTCTTTCCACTATTTTCTAGTAGATGGCACTGAATCACAAGATTTTTTTACCTCTGTGATCTCCCAGATGACACCCATGGCTTCTGTAAGATAGTACAGTTGTGCTTCTTTGGGTTGGGGTTTGTTTTTGCCTCACTGTATTGGTGGCCCCAGACCTCTGTGGGGTCCCACCCCAGTCACCAAACCAGAGGATCAGTCAGGGGGAAACAGCAGTTACACTGCAATAGCTCCTGGTTTACATATAAGACATTCCTCTGCCTGACACCCAGGGTGCAACAGAAGGCAGGTTTTGGGAGCCCAAGGGGCAGCAGGGCTCTGTGGTTCTGTTTCTTTGTCAAGATCACGCCCACCGAACAGTGGACTGCCCTGTGGCAGATCCCCGTGCTCTGTCAGGCGTCTGCTGGCTCAGTCATTGTTCACTCCACTCATCCTACTGGGCTGCCCCCTGCAGCTGTCTGTTCATCCTAGCCAGCTGAATGAAGCACCTGCTCCCACCTGCTTCCTCCCCGCTCCAGGCCGAGCCATGAGTTTCCCACTGCAGGGCAGCATCTGAAGGCCATCTGAGCTTTCCTCCCTTCTTATCTCCCTGTTTATACCCAGTTGCCTGCCTTTAGATGTTTTGATGCTTGGGTCTCTCGGGCGTGCCTCTGTATTGAGTAGGGAATTCTTTGTTGAATTATAGGTGGTTAATTTGTTGAAATTTCAGGGGGAGAGGCCAGGGGTATCTCTCATGCTTCCAATGCTCTGATGTCACTCCAAAAGATGTCATCAAACATTTAAAGAAGAATTAATACTAATCTTTCTCAACCTCTTGCAAAAAAAAAAAAAAAAATTGAAGAGGAGGGGACACTTCTAACCTCATTTTACCAGGCGAACATTACCCTGATAACAAAACCAGACCAGGAAACTACAAGAAAAAAAAAGTTATAGGCTAGTATTTTTTATGGATATAGATGCAAAAACTCTCAACAAAATACTAGCATTATGAACTTTACAGCACATTCGAAGAATCATACACTATGATCATGGGATTTATTTTTGAGATGCAAGAATGGTTAAATATAAGCAAATCAACAAATATGATACACCACATTAACAGAATGAAGGGTAAAATGATCGTGAGATCATTTCAATAGATTCAGAAAAAACACTTAACAAAATTCAACATCTTTTCATGATAAAAACTCTCAACAAACAAGGTATAAAAGAGATGTACCTCAACATAATAAAGGCCATATATACAAGCCCACAGCTAACACCATACTCAGTGGTAAAAAGCTGAAAGCTTTACTCTTAGGTTAAGAAGAAGACAAGGATACCCACTCTTAGCACGTCTGTTCAGCATTGTGTTGGAAGTCCTAGCCAGAGTAGTTAGGCAAGAAAAAGAAATAAAAGGCATTGTAATCAGAAAGGAAGAATAAAATTGTCTCTGTTTGCAGATGGCATAATCTTATATATAAAAAACCTTAAAGACTCCACTAAAAACTGTTAGAACTAATAAATGAACTCAGTGAAGTTGTAGGATACAATACCAAAATGCAAAAATCAGTTGTATTTCCATACACTAACAGTGAACTGTCTAACAGGTAAAAATGAAGAAAAGCAACCCTATTTATAGTAGCATTAAAAACAATAACATACTTAGGAATAAATTTCACTAGGAGATGAAGACCTATACACTGAAATCTGCGAGATGTTGGTGAAAAAGATTGATGTAAATGGAACAATATCCTGTATTGTTGGACTGGAAGAATTAATATTGGTAAAATGTCCATACTGCCTAAAGCCACCTAGAGAGTAGTGCAATCTCTGTCAAAATTCCAATTGCATTTTTCACAGAAATAGGAAAAACAGTCCTAAAATTCATATGGAATCACAAAAGACCCCAAATAGCCAAAGCAATCTTGAGAAAAAACAAAGCTGGAGACATCTCATTTCCTAATTTCAAACTATATTGCAAAGCCTTAGTAATCAGAACAGTATTGTACTGGCATAAAAGCAAATGCTTAGAGTAATAGAACAGAATAGAGAGCCCATGCACATATGATCGATTGACTATGACGGCTGCTAGCACACGCAATGGGAAAAAGAGAGTCTCTTCAATAAATGGTGCTGGGAAGAGTGGATATCCAGCATGCAAAAAAGTGGAAGCGGATCTCCATCTCACACCATTAAGAAAAATCAACTCAAAATGGATAAAAGACTTAAACATAAGAACTGATACCATAAAACTCCCAGAAGAAGATGAAAACCTTGACACTGGTTGTGGTAATGACTTTTTGCATCTGACACCAAAAGCACAAGCAGCAAAAGCAAAAATTGTAAGTGGGACTAAAACTAAAAAGCTTTTGCCCAGCAGAAGAAACCATCATCAAAATGAAAAGGCAGCCTGTGGGATGGGATAACATATTTGCAAGTCATATATCTGATAAGAGGCTAATATCTAAAATATGTAAGGATCTCACACAACTCAATACCAAAAACAACAAATAATTCATTTGAAAAATGGGCAGAAGTCCTGAAGAGACATTTCGTCAAGAAGACATACAAATTGCCACCAGGTACCTGGAAAGGTGCTAATCATCAGGGAAATGTATTTAAAACCTTGATGAGGTATCACCTGATACCTATGAGGATGGCTATTTTCAAAAAAACAGTAGGTAACAAGTGTTGGGGAGGGTGTGGAAGAAAGGGAGCCCTGGACAGTGTTGATGGGAATGTAAATTGGTGCAGCCGCCTTGGGGGTTCCTCAAAAAAAAAAAAATAGAACTGCTTTATAACCCAGCAGTTCACTTCTAGGTATGTAGTCAAAGGAAATGAAATCACTCTCTTGAAAAGAGAGGTCTGCACCTACATGTTCATTGTAGCTCTGTTCGAGTCGCCAAGATGTGGAAGCTAAGTGTCAGCCCTTGAGTGGGTAAAGGAAATGTAAACACACGCACAGTGGGACATTATTCAACCTTAAGAAGGAGGCCCTGCTGTTTGTGACAGTGTAGGTGAGCATGAAGGTCACGTCCTGTCCCATGGGAAATAAGCCAGAGAAACACGGTATGATCTTGATTATATGTGGAATCTGAAAAAAAAAAAAGTTGAACTCAGAACTGATGAGTCGAGTGGCGGTTGTCAGAGGCACAAATTGAAGGAGAAGCATTTAACCATCTCAGTAGATGGAGGAAAGCATGTAATAAAATTCAACATTCATTCATGGCTTTATTTTTTTTATAGTACAGTACAACTTTATTTAAATATCAAAACAAACACAAAACCAGATTATTTGTTTCTATAGAGCTGCAGTAATGCCAAAGGAGAGAGACGAGGCTGGAGGGTAGGGAATCAGTGTGGAGTTTCATTTCATTCGTTTTGCTGTTTTGCATTGAGAATGTCCTCACGTGTCATTTGCGTGTTTAAATTTTTTTGGACTGTTAATGGCTGCAGGAGACACCAGCATCTCGACTCTACTTCTCCTGGATGTCGTGTTAAAGCAAAACTAGACTCCTGTTCTAAATAAATGCTCCTCAGTTTGTTGTATGCCTTTGGTTTATTCCAAAGTCCTGAAATAATTGTTTTACAGTAAGTATTTTGTCCAGTTTTAGGTTTGTTTTAGGGGGAGAGGATTTGCCAATCTTTTCACCCACCATTGCTGGTACTTGGTCATTTAATTTTTACTTGAGATGATTTTTTTTCTGAGCTGATGTTTTCATTTTTATGGAGTCTGTATTATCCGCCCAGGGCAGCCGTAACACAGTATCCCGAACTAGGTGACTTAGAACAACAGAAACGTATTTTCGCAGTTATCAAATCTGGAAGACTGAAATCAAAGCGTCGGCAATGCCATGCTCCCTCCAGAGGCTCCCGGGGAGGGTCTATTCTGGGCCTTTCTCTCAGCTCCTGTTGCTGTTGGCACTCCTGGGCTTATAGACGCATCCGTCCAGTCTCTGCCTCTGTGGTCACGTGGATTTTCCTGTGTCTTCACATTGTCTTCCTGTGTGTGTCTTTTTAATGGCTTCAAATAACAGGAGCATAGATATAAAAGTACATTTGTTTAATCAGATAAAGGATTTTTATTTTCAAAACAATAGCAGATACATTACTTGGTGGTATGTTGAATGCTTTCTTTTTGAAATGGAGACCAGTATGGGGACACGTCATCCCCCCTTATTTTCAGCATCCTGCTGGAGGTCCCAGGTAATGAGTGTGGAGGTGAGATGGAAAGAGAGGCAGGAAAGGAGTGAGAGAAGAAAGGGAGAGAGAAGTTAGAGAACAAAAGAAAAGCCATAGGATTGAAGAAACCTAGGCCCTGCCCACAGTGCAGTCTGAGCTTCTGGGACCCGCTGGGACCCTGTGGTGTCTTCCAGGTGACTCCTTTCTGCAGCCAAGTTTAAGAGAGTGCCCTGTCCACTCTTTGTAAATATTTAAGGAGGTGTCATGGTGGTCACACAAAAGCTTTATTTTCCATTTGAAGAAAATGCTATTCATTCCAAAACAAGGTTTTTCAAAGCAAATTTTTGCTGGTTTGAGTTGGTACCCACTTAAGGTATCATTCTTCTGTTATCTGTTCCAGTATTAACTGCTCTTTAAGTGGAAGCAGGTACGTAATTCGTGCCATGGGGTAAGGTACTCAGGGCTCAGCGGTGTTGTGTTTTCTTAGTGTGAGTCCATGTTGGTGCACATAAAAGATATTGTTCCTTTTAACATTACTACTTTTTATCAAAAATTTGGACAGAATAAGATAACTATCTTATTCTAAGAAGCCCTTGCTATAAAATTGATTGTATTGGGGCAAATTATAATTCTTTTCAAGGAATGTTTGTTAAAACTTTCCCTATCTTGAAGTTGATGCATCAGACAAGAGGAGAGGAGACCAGTGTGTGGGTGCTGCCAGCTCACAGAGGGCATGCTTTTTGCCAGCGAGTGCCAGGTGACTGCACTAGCATGTGCTGGCATAGAGGCACTTCTCCTGTTTTTTCTAGATCCAGCACTCTGTAAAGACCAGTTGTCCTTGAAGGAAAAACCCGGCATCCCGGCTGGTCCGCAGCTTCTGAACCAAGCAGGCTCCAGGGAGACCGCTGGGGGCACACCAGCCCCTTTGGTGCCATCCTCCCCACCTGTGACTGCTCTGCCCCAGGATATGGCTGCACCAACCACCAGCCCCAGGCCAGAGCCGGCAAGGGGGTCTGCCATGCAGGCAGGGGGCCCAGTGACCTCTCAAGGGATGGCCAACGAGTGTGACAACCCCCAGCCACTGGCAGAGACTCATGATGCCCAAGCGGTTGTAAGGCCCCTGGATGTGGCGCAAGGGCCTTGCACCTCCCCTATAGAGGCCTCCCATCATCCCACAGGTGTTGGGGAGCCTGCCTCAGCCAAGGAGGCCAACACCCAAATGGAGACCCTTCCAGCTCCAGCCCCTGTGCCCAGTGCCTCCAGCGAGCCCCTTCAGCCTGCCCCAGGCCAGTCCCTACCTCCACTCCCTAATGCTGTGGGAACTGTTGGCCTGGCTACCCCCCAGCTCCCAAGCCCTCCACTGGGGCCCAATGCCTTCCCCCAGCCTCTGTCCGCGTTGGAGTCGGATGGGGAAGGGCCTCTTCCCAAGGTGGGCTTTGTGGACAGCACCATCAAGAGCCTAGATGAAAAGCTGCGAAATCTGCTCTACCAGGAGCACGTGCCCACCTCCTCGGCCTCAGCTGGGACCCCTGTGGAGATGGGCGACCGAGACTTCACCCTGGAGCCCCCAAGAGGGGATCTGTCCTACACGGAGGCCTCCAGGGGGGACCCCGCCTTGCCAGCCCAACTTGTGGTGAGTACTGGCCTTGTCCAGAGATGCCATCCTGGTCAGGGGCCTGGACGGGTGGGGGCCAACTCTCGTCTAGCCATGCAGAGCTGCCTCTGCTCTGAGACCCACCTCTGAGCCGGCCCCGCCCAGTGTGTTTTGCAAGAAGTGGCCTGTTTGGGGATGCAGGTGTGCATGCGCAGGGTCAGGACCCGGCCAGGACCAACTGGTATGTGTGGAGCACCCAGCACTGTGCCCTGCTCCCTGGGGAGGAGGAACTCAGCCCTGGGACGGAAGGAGAGGGTTTACAGTTCAGCTGCAGAGATGTCAGCAAGTGAGGCTCCTGGCTCTTTCCTTTCTGTTTCTTCCTCCAGCTGGACAAGTCAGAACTGGCCCCTAGACTCTCGGCTGCCTTGGAGCAGGCTGGATCCTCACCAGTGACAGGTGATGAGCCCCACGTCACCGGCCCTGCCCCGCCCCCAGTGTGTGCGAGATGCCCCAGCCTTCCTTGCTCCAGAGTGCTCTGCATCTTGGGTGGGACCCAGACATGGCAGAGCCCATCATGATGCCTTATTGTATGTTCATGCGCCAGTGAGAAAAAGTCCACTGTCTGTGGAAATGGATGACAGCCCCTCCCCTCAGCCTGGCAGGAGGTGTCAGCCCCTGTCACTTCCACACTGCAGCGTGTCAGTCCAGCTCGAGGCTGACACAGCTCTGGCCTGCTGTGGCTTTCTTTGTTGCATGTGGGAGGGTCTCAGCTCAGGCCAGTCTCCCACCCATTGGCTCTTTCTGCTCCGTCATTCAGTCTTCACAGCAGTTCTGGGAACACAGGTCAGAAATAGGCTGTGTTCCCATTCTGTAGACAGGGAAACTGAGACAGCCTTGGATGACATGGACCTTCCTTAGATACGAGCAGCAGGGCTAGGAATCAGCCCTATTGATCTGCTCCTTCCAAGGCCGCATGAGACCCATTTATTATCAGAACATGTCAGGGAGAGACAGGGTAATGCCATCAGGTGATAGAGATGTCAGGTGAGAGGGTGACACCATCAGGTATGTAAAGATGGCAGATGAGACGGTGTCACCATCAGGTGTGTAGAGATGACAGGTGAGACGGTGACACCATCAGGTGTATGGAGGGCCTCGGTGTGCCCAGGTGTCTGGAGAACGTGCCTCAGGGCTGATGGCCTCTTCCCTTCCCCAGGTTCTCGGGTGTCTCCTCTGAAGGGCGGGAGAGGTTGGGACGGCTTCTCACCATGGCCCCCTCTCCCTCCCACTGACTCCGCTGCCTTGAGCCACTCCCGCCTTTGTCCTCGGCACTAGCCCAGATAAATGATTTTAATGTTCTTACAGCAGCAGCATCTTTGAGCAATACACTGGGCTCCGATGGAGGATGGGTATCCTCGGGCTCACCTGCAGCACCCAGTGCCCCTCAGGTAGGTAGTTTTCTGCGATGAGACAATGAGGCGATCAGCCGGGTGGTGGAGTTTGCTCTCTGCTGGTGTTCGTGTGGAATCTTTACTTTCCTCTGTTTCCCAAGGGTGCCCCTGCTTCTGCCATCCCTGCACATCTGGAGCTCACAGACCAGAGCGGCGGGGACCCGGGGGAAAGCTCCGCCACGCCCATGCAGCGCTGCCCCGGGATGCTCACCGAGGGCAGTCAGGCCGGCCACCCCCAGACTCACAGCTCTCTGGCCTCGGGGTCCCCTCGGAAGCAGCCAGAGCAGCAGGATGGCAGCTCACCAGCTAAAACTGTGGGCCGGTTTTCTGTAGTCAGCACCCAGGATGAGTGGACCCTGGCCTCCCCCCACAACCTGCGGTACTCGGCCCCCCCCGATGTGTACCTGGAGGAGGGGCCCCACGGCCCGGATGTGAAGCTGGCCCTGCGGCGTGTGCAGACGGCTTCCTCCATTGAGGTCTGCCCAGACGAGCCTGTGTCCAGTGACTCTGGGGAGGAGTGCCCGCACCGGAGGCCCCCTGTGCTGAAGCGCAGCTCCCTGCCCAGCAGCAGTGGTGGTGTGGCCAGCGACTTTGTGAGGAAGGCCACTGCCTTTCTGCACAGGTCCTCAAGGGCTGGCTCCCCTGGCCCAGAGACACCCAGCAGGATGGGTGTGAAGGTCCCGACCATCAGTGTGACCTCCTTCCACTCCCAGTCATCTTACATAAGCAGTGACAACGACTCGGAGATTGAGGATGCTGACATCAGGAAGGAGCTGCAGAGCCTGCGAGAGAAGTAGGTCCTGTGGGATGGGTGGCCTGCTCCGCTGGGGTCACCGGCCACGGGGCCAGGGCGTAGTGGGCAGCTGAGGTCAAGGCTCCGCCATGTGGAGCGTGGACCAGGTGATGGGGCAGAGGCAGTTGTCGCTGCTGCCTCTTGACCTGGTTCTAGTCTCGTGGCTGTGCCTCTTCACTTCCTGTGGCTGTCCCCTACCCCTGTGGCCCTCAACAGGACAGCCCCGTGCCGCTCGTACCTAGGCCGTCTTCACACTCCACCTGCAAGTGTTGCCTGCCACCACCTGTGGTCAGGGTCCCTGAGATGCGTCTGCACCCTGAAGTCTCCTTCAGGGCAAGAGGGACCACAGTGTAGCTACTAAGGTGGGGAGATGCTGGTGTCCTAGGGAAGGAATGGCTGTGGGCTGAGAGCTCTTGGAGTGGATCCAGAAACTGCCCACAGGCTCCAGGAGCCATAGCACACCTCTTCTCTCCTATTCCTCCCTCTGGGTGGGCAGGCCAGGGCTGTGCCATCTAGGAGGGAGTGAGAGAACTTGCCTGCCCTGCCCTGGACCCAGTCCCCCCTGCCTCCCACCCCTTGGGGGGCCAGCCCCCCCTAACACCGTATCCTAGCTGCGGGAGGTCAGGACCAGCCTTGGGGCACCTGATACTTGTAGCTCCTTCCCTTGGTGCTCTGTGACAGTGGAAGGCTGGATGTGGAGCAGCCATTGAGACACTGGTTCCATCCTGGGATGTGATGTCCCAGGAGGCACGGGGGAGGGGCTGGTCTGTACTCTTGGGGGTGTCACCCTGGAAGCCCTCTGTCAGCAAGAACAAAACGAGACTGGGAGAGCCCCGAGGCAGCTACCCTCCACTGTGAGGGAAGCTGTAGAAGAGTGGGAGGGCCTGGGTGCAAGAAAATCAGGGAGAAGCTGCTGTGCACTCTGAGGAGGTCTGGAGATGAGGGGTGGGGCCTGGAGGGGAAGGAGGGGGGCAGGAAGGGAGAAAGGAAGAAGTACCTCAAAGGAAAGGGTCCAGGAGCCTGAGAAAGGGGAAAACCAAGGACCTGAAGTCCTGGTTCACTGGCCTGATGGGACAGCGGTGGACCCCCATGGAAGGGAGAGACCATTTAGAAGGGGGTGAGGTTTGGACCTGAATTGAGGGGATCGGTTGCTGCTAGATGGGAGGTAGCCTTGTGTCAGACCCCCTGAGCACCCGGTGGGGACACAGGTGCCTGCCTCCCCACCAACATTTGCGGTTCTTAGAACCCCCAGGAGCCCTGTGATTTGAGAGGCCCACTGTAGCCCCTGGGGCTGGGTGGAAGGAAAGGGTGGGCTTTGGGGCAGGAGTTTCAGACAGGAGGTCTCCCCCAAGTTCTAAATCAGATGCTCCCCAGCTCACCAGGCATCCCTCCCCCACTCCAGCCAGCCTCTACCCCAGAACTTCACAGTCTGAGAAAGTTAATCTGATGCAATAGCAGTTTTCTGTTTAGAGAATCGTTTTTCTAAAACAAATCTGGCAGGCGTTGAAGACATAATAGGAAAAATTAGAATTTGGCTCCTTCTGTTCAACCATGAAAACACCTGTTTCCCAACCACACACGAAGGAGATGGGCCTGAAGTGAGGCTGAGGGGCTGAGTCCCATGGCTGGGGTGGCTGGGACCCATGAGAGACGGCTGAGGGGATGTTGTCCAGCCCACTGCCACTCCAGTTGCAGGAGGACAGGAGGGGGGGCAAAGGAAGCAGCAGAGGTTCGGCCAGTAAGTCCTGGGGGTCCGGCAGGGGGCTGCTTATCCCTTCTCTGGCTTGTCCTAGAAACTGCCCTTGCCCACAGCCAGTGCGTCCATTCAAGTTGTTTTGTGTGTGTGTTTTAAGT